ATGGACTACATGGCGATGATAGACTAAACATCGGTGGTGGGAGCTGAGTTGGCGGTGGATCTATGGTAAATCTGTGTTAAATCTGTGCTTAATTTTCTTCTCATCTTTCTCCCCCTTCTTTTTTCTCTTTCTCCTAGAGATGGTGATGGTGGTGGGTGGGGATGATTGTGTGGCTGATGGTGATGAGGGGACAATCGGCGGTCGGAGGTGGAGGCGGTGATGATGGGGCTGTCGGCGGTCGGGGGCGGAGGCGGTGATGATGGGGCTGTTGGCGGTCGGGGTGGGGCGGCGGTAGGTGGGGGATGGTGGGAACTGAGGCGGGGGTGGGTGCTCCAGCCTCCAGGGGTTCTAGGGCAGTGAGGGTTACAAGGGTATTTTGGATATTTCCTTCTTAAAATCAATCCTCACTAAAAATGAAGAAAAGTCAAAGTAAGAAGTTTATTACCGGACGGAGGGAGTATATATTAATAATCTATATGTTAAGACGAATCAAACAAGATCACACATGGCTATTTTTAGACTTACACATTAAGAGAATTTGATGAGTCAAAATGCTTAGATGAACAATTCCAAAAGTCAAATGTGGACAAAGACAATGAGACGGAGGTAATATTATTTTATCAAATGAGTAATAAAAATAAGAAAAAAACTTAATAAAGTTTAATATTGTAAATATTAATCAGGCAACTTAATTTTAATCCTTTAAAATAACTTTGATTTATAAATTAATATAGAAATGAAAAGTAGAAATTAAATATTTCAAACGTACATAAAAAATTTTATAAAATAAAACATGACAATAATATTTTATTTTATCAAATAATCAATAAATCTATAAAAATAAATAAGTCATCCGAAGGAGTATAATTTTTTAGAAATATAAAAAATGAGAAGTCATGGTCAAATACCAAAGCTTGTAAACCACTACAAAATGCATGCTAAGAGACTTTAATATTTCCATCTAGAGGACACATGGTTAACATTTCATAAAATTGGGTTGGAACGAGGAATGATCATCCTATATATCATTTCTCCCTGGACCAATCCCCACTCTTCCCGCCAGTTTTCCGTTCGAGTTTGACATCCGTAATCCGGATGTCCTTTGACACTGCCTTGCACATATCATACACAGTCAGGCCAGCCACAGTCACTGCCGCCAAAGCCTCCATCTCCACCCCAGTTTCTCCACGGGCGGAAGCCTCCCCTTCAATCTCAACACTCAAGTCTTTAGGATTCAAAGCCAAATCGACCCGAACATGAGTCAAGTTTATGTTGTGACACAGAGGGATGATTGTGCTCGTCTGCTTTGCCCCGCAGATTCCAGCTATCTTTGCCACACCAAGAACGTCCCCTTTCCCCATCTCGTTAGCCGATACAAGATCAAACACTTTCCTTCCCAAAATGACCTTGCAACTAGCAACCGCTACTCTATGGCTAACCCCTTTGCAAGAGATGTCTACCATTTTCGCTTCTCCCTCCTTGCTAACGTGAGTCAGCATAGGCATTATCAAGTCGTTTCCGGTATCTTTTGGTGGGATGAAGTATGGTTCCTCAATTGCATCTTGGTTTTCGATTGCGCCAGAGAAACTAGATGGGGGAGGCTCACCAAATATGGATTCCATTTCCTGCAACAACACACAAGCACCATATGAGCATCTGTCAAAGGAATCTGAATCCAAGATTCAAGAGCCTATGGCAAAACCATTTGACTAAATCAAATCAAAACGGAACGCTAAACCTCCATTTGGGTAATAAATGCAGTAATGCATCAAGGATCTAACATACACATTACGTACATCTTGATCCTCAGACCCCAATGAAGTTTGGATTACATTGGGGTTTGTTGTTGTTATATCGGAGACATTGTCCACTCATATCAATCCATTTTAAAGAATTAGAGATCGAATAATAACCCTCCACATACACCCAAAAACACAAACATACTCCATCCTTTTATGCAATATACTGCTACTAGTAATTTCATTATCTTCTAACAATCCAACTCACACAGCTGCATCAAAGCTCACATTAAAACATATAGATTTTTTTTGGCAAAAAGGAAAATTTTAAAGAAAAACAGTACTATCGGAAAAGAAAATTCCAAGAATACGGATCAGGGATGAGAGAGTGTGTGCATACCTATATACTATGTTCATAGTAGCTCGTCCTCAATTTTTTTGTTTATTTGTCACTCGTGCCTCTATTACTTTATACCCTGGAGTAGAATTAATTGTACTGATAATATTTAATCAGAACCATCGCACTTTACTTGGGGGGCCTTATTACATTGTTATTGTTGTTGTGAGAGAGTGATGTGCGAGAGCAGTGTGAGCATTATGTAAGAGCTAAACTTTTATGGATTTTTGAAATTTTCTGTCTTTTCTTGAAAACCAATACATCTTTCTCAATATGATATTCTTTAAAGGAGGCTGCCGGTTCCTACAGTTTCTTGGGTTGAATATTCAAAAAAGAAGTTGAGAGGATTACTGAGAATTCTTAAGGGATAACCTTATTGAGTTCAGCAATAGCATTGGAAAGATCACGATTACCAGTGCTACAAAAGAACCGAGCCGATTGAGGCAATTTTGAAGCAACCCGGCGAAGAAACATTGTCAGATTGGTTTAGTGTGCTTCACCTGTACTCTGAAGAAAAAAATTAATTAGGCAGGTAAAGCTATCATCTTTCGTTCATTTAGGCACAACCACAAACACTTGAAGAGCATATCCATTGGACAAATGAGCAAAACCAGCACCAAAATGAAAAGAATTTTGAAACAAACATGTTCTATTATTACATACCCTTGGCGTCCAGAATCAATGAAAGTTGGTTACTTGGATTCTGTGAGAAGAACCTTCCACATTTGCCTCATATTGTGCCCCTCTTCTGCGTTTTAGCTTTTAGGGTACTAATGAGTGCCCTGTATTACACGGGATATCAATTGTGCTGTCAACAATCAACACAAACATGAAAAGAACACATTCAAAATGATACTATCAGTCTATCACATGAATTTTTAAAAATAATTCTATTATCACAATTAGTGCATATTTTCTTAAGTTGTAGAAGTTTAACTCTTTAGTCTTTATAGTGATACTCCCACTGACAATCTACAACTCGTAAATTTAGTATTAATATAGTAAAGATTTTATAGTGATACTTTAAAGTATTCATAGAGTAAATATTTACATAGGAATATTTGAAGTAGGTCTTACACCAGATTGTAAATGGTGTACTATTGTGATCAAGCACGTCCAACAATTGTTATTAATGAAATTACAATCACATTTGTCAATAAAATTGCATATCAAGGGTCCATAATAAACAGAAAACTTTCATTCTTGGGACACAATGATGGATTTAGGTACTATTTTCTTAGGACAAATGTGTCACTAAAAATCATATATTAGACCATCCCTGGAAAATAAAGTATACCAAAATCCATACACCAAAAGTATCTACTTGGATGTATATTTTGCTAAAAGTGTATACAACTTGTGGGGAAGGGCTAGGAAAGTGAGAGGCCACGTGATCACATGTGCAATTTGCAAACCGCAAATTAACATTTAAATTAAGCTTCAAATTCACAAATTCCCAAGAGAAAGATATAGTAATAATAGCATTTTGTAGGAAATGATTGCAAAACTATCTATTTAAGTTCACAGAAACATTCGTAAAGATACCCTACCAAATTATCAGTTCATTTTATTTAAACAGATAATTGCTTGAATGAAATCGCCACAATGATACACATAACATATAGCTTGGCCATAATTCTAGAAAACAATGACTAAAACTATGATAGGCCGGAGAAACCCGGACAACAATTAAGATATCATGTACATGCAAATATCGCTGATATTCATAATATCAATATCTATAATTAGGTAATAACTCTTCGGGTCTAACTTCTTACCACCCATACCACTATTTGTGTATAGGTAGTTATAACTATTTGTGTATAAGTAATATCGTAATACATTTTACTATGCAACAAAATTAGGTAAACAACTACTTAATATCATATTACCAATCATCTCCCAGTTATCCACCTTAGTATGCAAAGTCAAATTAATATTTGTGATCCAAATGTTTACATATACCACATTAACAGCTATGTATATTTGTGACTCATATATCCACAGTTTAAATATGAAAAGAAAAAAAAATTGTAATAGTGGAGACATCGAAACCTTCTTCTATGAACAAACAACTAGATGTTTGTATTTTCTAAGCATTTTATCCAGAGTTATATCCATTTGCTTTGCTCTTAATTGGTGCATAATCAAAATGTCACGTGCAAAAGTTTGAGCAGTCTTAAAAGAATCACTAAAATCCACACCATGTATACAATCAAAGTGAGGATAGCATTTCCCCAGCCTTCTCATCACAATCAACAGTCTCCTACTAAGCATATACTTTTACTCCATAACATTTTAGCATATAATGTTGGGTAAATGATTAATCTAATCCCCGAAGTATGTATTTTCAGTTCAGTTTTACGAAAACACCAGAGGAGTTTTCTGCTAGGAAATATCAAAAAAGGCAGTGTGCTTGTAGAGGCGCAATGGCGTCGTTTGATCCATGTAGCCGACCCCACCTAGTGGCAGAGGGCTTTGTTGTTGTTGTAACTGCTGCTTGAAGACTTGTAGAGCACATATATCTATGTTAGTTCAATATATCTCATTCCAAAGTTCTTCTATTGGAAAAAGATCTGGTTTCATATTCAAAAAAAAGTTATTAAACTTGGAATTGGTCCACTATACATAAATATGGAAAGGATGCACAGTAATGCTTGAAAGATGACATGAATACCAACCTTGTTTGATTTAAAACTCATAGAAAATTCGTTCAGGCACAAAGAATGAAAAAATCCATCAACAGTGGGTAGATTATCAACTTATAAGGCTATACTCACAGAAAGAAGACGAGAAAAACAGTGATGTGAAAGCCAAGTGTTGGTGACTTCATTCGCCCTTCTCGACACCTTAATCCCCAAATAAAGATTTCTTACTCTCTATTAAAAGTATTTGAGTTAAGGATACCTGGATGTGGTTTTGTTGCATTTTTTTCTGAGCACAAAACATTTTTTACTTTGCAGTAAGATTTGGTTGACACTTGACTGTACCATAAAAAAAATTTTAATGTGGTTTTCTGGCATATAAAATGCCATGTCACATACTCCATATGACCATATACAAATAAAAAACCCCAAAACAATCTTACGATAGTGAGTCAAAATTTTAATGTGGTTTTCTGGCATAACTTTCTGGGCACAAAATAATGTTATTAAGATTGAATAAGGTAAAAGAGCATCTATAGGACTTATACCATCTATTCTTTATGGGAAAATCACAATATGCACCCTCAAAAAGTAACAAAAAAGTAATATGCACCCATACTTTTCCTAAATTTTATACCGCACCCTAAAAAGTTATAGTAGCTTCCACTTAACCTTCCACCACCCCCAGCCTTCCGTTGCCATTAAAACTAAAACAACCACAAAAGACAAAATTAAAATAAAAGCATGAAAAGTAAACTAGAAAATGCAATAGGCTAAACCTGAAAATAAACAACATATATTTGCAGAGAACTTTTGACGATGTAGGTGGAAAAAAGCTTTACAACTATAGAAACATCAGTTTATTGTAAAAATAACTGGCTCAAGCAATACAAAAAAAACTCCAACAACTGCTCAAACACTACCAAAAACACTCCAAACTGTGGCCGAAGCACTATAAAAAGACACTCCAAGTATTGCTCAAGCACTACACTACAAAAAAACTAGCCCTTCTATTTTAAAACTACTCCAGGTATATAAATATACTTCTTTAGGTGACATTAACGACTCAATATATGTAAAAAACAGTAAAGAAAGAAAAGATATTCACAATTTCTGCTCCCAATCAACAAATTACCGTAAATGGGAGTCTCTCTGAATTCAAAGTGTGGTATGTGCTCTGTAAAGTCATGTCATCTTAGCAATGTATTTGCACAAACAGATGGGTCTGCGCAAATGGGGTAGACAGAAGATGTGGGCAAAATGAGTTTGTATAATTACTTAATGTGACAAGAACTGGTTTATCCACTAATCATTCATCAGCTTCACAAGCGAGGCCATAGACCCGACAATTTTTCTCTTGTTCTTCTCACCGATGGGTAATGAACTAATAACCCCAGGAGAAAGCAGATGAGCTGGAGCAGAACGAGAATAGCTCCTGTTAGCGCTGTTCATGGGTCGAAGACGGAACCGAACCGGACCCACATGGAATTGAATGAAATCACTAACAAGAGACGGCACCTAAATCTATTTGGGTTTGGACCAGACCGGACCGAAATTCTTAGGACCAAACCAGTTCGTACTGATTATACCGAATAAAAAATATTTTATTTATTATTCTCAACAATTAAATACTACGGGGTATGTTTTAGGCTTTTTATTTTGTACCATGCAAATAGAAAAAAAATTAAAAAATAGACAATCTAAAACTAGATACACAAGATGAACTACTTCTATGTAGAAATGTAAAATCATAGAAATTAATGTGAAACTTTCTATGCCCAAGACCAGCTGCCCATTTGGGCAGCCCATCCACACGACCTCCGGCCCACTGCCAAACCGGGCAACCGGCCCAACACCTCCAGCAGACCAGACCAGCCCTCAAGTCTGCCCAACAACCCAAACAGCAACCAAACATTTCCAATTTCAAACCAATGACACCCAAACAAACCCAATTGCATCCAATAGAACCCAAATCAATCCAAATGCATTCAATTCAACCTAAATCAACCCAATTCCATCCACTTTGATACACTCTCGGTATCAATACCCTGCAGTAGGAGGCAAAGGAGGTCTAAGGTGAGGCGCGAAGCTTTGTTCGACGCGGGAAGAAAGAGCAGGAGAGGAGAATTAGGGTTGAGAACAAGAAAGTAGGGAGAGGAAGTTGTATTATTCGTGATGTCTTTTCCATAAGGGAATAATGTCCCTTATATAGAGTAAATCCTCAAACCCTAATATTAATTTATCTAACCTGTCGGTTCAAAAAATGCATCGAGGTAAAGAACCGAAAAGAAACCCTCGAAGGAGCTTATAATACGCTCACCTAAGAAAAATCTAAGTTACAATAAATAAAAGAACAATCAACTAAATATAATCCCGATAACATTGGGGCGGCCCAACGTTACGCCGCGGCCTGCTACTAACCCCGACTCCATTTGGGTTGTCTTCCAGCATCTCTTCCGGTCCATCCCCGCGTAGGCCCGTATCCTCGTTCGGGCCGTCACCATGCGCACCGTGCGATTCATCCCCATGCAGGTCCGTATCAACTCCCCCCGGCTTAGCAAGAGCCTTGTCCTCAAGGCGTAAGTCCGGAAAGGCACTAGTGAGGTCAGTCGCATGTTCCCACGTAGCCTCCGCCGGCGTACTGTCTGACCATTGTACTAACCATTCCTCGCGTGGCACACCATTTACAAGCACCGTACGGCGGTCCCATGCCGCTACCGGGACAGACAGTGGGCGGCCCTTGACAAATTCTTGCGGTAAAGTAGGTAATACAGGGCTGCCCTTGCGTTGAATAAACGGCCGTAAGAGAGAGACGTGAACAACATTGTGGATGCGGCACGCATCCGGGAGTCGAAGACGGTAAGCTACCAGACCCACTTGTTCAAGAACCTCAAAGGGACCATAGTAGCGTTTGGCTAGCTTGGCCGACCCCGGGCGTGCCAAGGAACGCTGACGGTAGGGCTGCAGACGAAGGAGCACCAAGTCGCCGACATTGTAACTGACCTCCCGTCTGTGCCGATTAGCTTGGGAACACATACGCTGTTGCATCTTCTTCAAATGCAGCTTTAAATCTTCCAACAGAGCGGCCCTCTCGCGAAATAACTCCTCCACGGCGGGCGCCCGAGCACGGACGGATAATGTTGGGAAGAGAGACGGTGGTGGTCTGCCGTATAAGACCTGGAAGGGGGACACACCAAGGGCCTCATGATGGGTGCAATTAATAGCCAATTCTGCCCTGGGAAGAAACACTACCCACTTCGACGGACGCTCGGAAACGAAAGCTCGCAGATACTATTCGAGGTGACGGTTGAGAACCTCCGTTTGACCATCGGTCTGCGGGTGGTAGGCCGTCAAATATTTGAGGGATGTCCCGCTCAAGCGCAGAAATTCTTTCCAAAATGTGCTCATAAAGATTGGGTCGCGGTCGGAGATCAAGGATCGAGGGAACCCATGATGCTTTACGATGATATCAACAAACAGACGCGTGACTCGTGGGGCATCAAACTTCGCAGGTAACGGCCCGAAATGGACATTTGCTCAGACGATCGACCACCACCAAAACGGCGCTGAACCCTTTAGACGGAGGGAGTCCCGTCACAAAGTCCAATGACGCCGACTCCCACACCTGGTCGGGAATGGGCAAAGGTTGCAGGAGGCCTCCCAGCTTCTGAGTCGAGTATTTTGTTGCTTGGCAGACTGTACACGAAGCCACAAACTGCCGTACCTCACGCCGCATGGCCGACCAAAAGAACACAGCTGCTAATCGGCGGAATGTACGATCGACCCCCTGGTGACCCGCCGCGGGGGTTGCATGGAACTCATGGAGCAGCTGATTGCGTAAGGAGGAGTCCTTGCTAACGTACAAACGGTGGCCGTAGTAGAGAATCCCATCATGTACAGAGATATGCGCCGGGGCAGACCCCGTGTCTACTGCCGCGTGCAAGGCCACTAAATCCGGAAGGGTGGCGTTCTCTGCCCGCAAAGTGTGCAAAAGATCAGGGATTGGGTGTGCATGTGCGGTGAACAGGCCGGCGTAGTCCCCATCGTCCTCCCGACGGGATAAAGCATCGGCGGCCCGGTTTGTGGCACCCACCTTGTATTCAATCCGGAACTTAAAGCCCATAAGCTTTCGGATGTAAAATTGTTGATCCGGTGTTTGAATCACTTGTTGTAGTAGCTCCTTAAGGCTTCTCTGATCGCTACGAATGACAAATTCGCGTCCCAACAGGTACTGACGCCATTTGTGTACCGCCGCCACAATCGCATATAAGTACTCCTTATGATACATAGATGCGGTCCGTCGTCGTGGTCCCAAGGTTTTGCTGAAGAAAGCTATGGGGTGGCTGTCTTGTGTTAAAACCGCCCCAATTCCGTTATCCGAAGCATCCGTCTCCACATAGAAGGTTTGGGAGAAATTAGGCAGACGCAACACAGGCGCCGTTGTCATAGCGTGCTTGAGACGGTCGAATGCTTCATCAGCCGTGGCATCCCAGTGGAACCCATCTTTTTTCAACAATCTGGTCAGGGGGCCGGCAATCGTGGCATGTCCGGCTACAAAGCGACGATAATACCCTGTCAGACCCAAAAATCCCCGCGTAGGCCCGTATCCTCCTTCGGGCCGTCACCATGGGCACCGTGAGATTCATCCCCATGCAGGTCCGTATCACACTTGAACCCAAATTCCACCCAATTCCATCCAAACAATCCAAATAGGACCCAATTGACCTAATCTACCCAATTGGACCAAACCGACACGACTTGAACCCAACCGAACAAGCCCAGTGGGCCCACAGCCTTGGTCGCCTCCCCTGCCGGCGTATCGCCGGTGACTCGCCGGAGAACAGCCGGGATTTCAAGCCCAAACTCATCCCAACAATCAATTCTTCAAATTTCACAATCAATTAAAAAATTCATACGAATAAGATTCTAATCTACGAATAAAAGCTAACTTAAGGTATGTGGACCTCGATTATCGAAGAAATTGGATCTGAAAACCGAAGGAGGAATTCACCGCTAACTTCCGTTGCTTCCTGATGAAAGGGCGAGGAAGGTACCCGCCGGCGAAGATGGAAAGAGCAGCGGTCCTGGTCGGCGACGAAAAACGAAGAAGAAACTCGACTCCCTTCACAGCGTCGTTCTGGGGAAAGAAAACAAAAGAGAGAAGTAGGAAAACAAATTTTTATATAAATTTATTATCAATAGATTCATTTTGAAATATAGTTTTAAAATATATTATTTTTATAATATATATTCATATAAAAATGAAATGAAAAATCAAATGTGAAGTTAATTTTAAGACGGAGGGTGTACTCCGGTACTTTCTAGTACAAAACATAAATATTTATTTTAGTACTTATTCTGAAATAATGTAGTAATCATTCTGAAATAATATAGTACTTATTTTGAATAATGTAATGTTCGTTTTTACACATTTGTTCAATACAATTACAATTCATTTACAAATAACGTAATATTCATTCTGAAACAAAGTAATACTCATTCAAATAACCTAGTTCTCATTCTTAAACAACATACCGTTCATAAGTCGAAATCTAAAATCATCTGTCTCTGAAATCTATCATTTTGGTCATCGTCTTTCTTTCTTCTACATGGAAGATCGGATCGGAATTAAAACAGATTCATCCCCGATCGAAATCTATCATTTTGGTCACGGCACACCCTTTTTTTACCGTGATCATGAAGAAGGCTATGTTTGACTGGACCTAGGAGTGCCAGGAGGCGTTCCAGGAATTCAAAAGATTTATGGCTAACCCGCCCGTGTTATCCAAGCCAGACCCAGAAGATGTGTTGGTTTTGTACGTACTTAGCCATTTCAGACAATGCACTGAGCATAGTGATCATGCGGGAGGAGGGAAGAGCCTAGCATCCGGTTACTACGTCAGCAAAACACTTAGAGATGCCCAGATGAGATACTCACGCCTGGAAAAGGTGATGCTGGCAATCTAGTGGGCGGTGAAAAGGTTAACTCCGCCCACGAAGTGAATGTTTTGAAAAGTGAGCCACTAGCCTCACTCTCAAGGAGCCTAGCAGCCTCGGCCTGGATGACAAAGTGGGCCTGGATTACAAAGTGGAGTTTAAACCTCACGATCAAGGGATATGCGTTGGCTGATTCTCAAGAACGAATGTACGGCCAGAGAACAGACGAGGCGCCTCGAGGCAACTCGGGAAGAGGTGAAAGGATGGTGGACGATGTGGATAGATGGTGTTAGAGTTGTGCCCTGATGGCCTGTTTATCGTTATTCTATCATGTATAGGCAGATATAATATGTTTACATATCTCATGCTACTGTAAACAAATATTATACTCCTAGATTTATATTTTAAAATGTTTATCAGATAGTGTTTTTCTGCTGATGAGACTAACATCTTGAAATAAATATTTATCTGAATGTTCATAGTCGAGTGTTAACGAAAGTGTGATATTGTTAATGCATGTGAGACTAGTGTGTGTTGGATGTTTGGCTTAGTCTCATAGTCAATAACAGTGTGTTCGCATCCGCACATGGGCAGATATTATCTGGAGATAATAGAATGCCACACTGACCCATCCTAAAGATGTTTCTTGAACTTTTAGTTCATCCTCTAAGCATATTTAACGCGACCACGGGTGTAACTATTCTTTGACTTGAAGTATTACGTTTCTGCATGTGTGAACCTGCATGCTTTGATGCATTGTCCTAAGCCATATGAAACAAGGATTGTATACAGGCTTTGTTTTGGGTATGCCACAGCACATATTCAGAAACGTAGATTACGTACATAGGATTTGTCACTACTCTTTTAAGAGATTAATGTCTTATAGGGCTAACTGATAAGTTATTATTGAGGATATTGCATGGCCATGCTGAGATGTTTTATGAAGTCTGTTCCTATCAGTTAGAATTGACAAATCAGTGAATGACTTAATTAATAGATACAAGTTGGATTTTATTAATCCCTTGCATTAAGTTTAGACAGTATACAGTTACACGAAGTCTGAGTCGTGGAAAGGTTTTGACGGTGCAAACATCTTAACATATAATCTCGGGATAATAATGTGTTGCTAGATACCATTTATTACTCATAGTATTGGTGCAGAGCTAATACTATGGCCAGCTTTATAAGTGCCTATACGGGTTAAAAACTTTGGATAATTTAAGGAGTAGGATTAAACAATGGAATAATAAGTAATTTGTATATTTGTAAAATAAAATATTTTGGAATATAATATTATTATATATAAATATTCGGTTATATTATAAATATATATATATATATTGAATATTTTATTTTGGTTTGTCATTTTAATTATGAAAATAATTATTTTGACATAAACTATTTAAGTATATTTGTATACTTGTTTAAAAAATGATAATGGCATTTTTATTTGATTTCAAATTAATTTTATATTAATTTTTGTTGTCAATTAAAATATACTTTGAACATTTAAGTGGAGAAGAATTTTGAAAATCCTTCTCACTTTCTCAAATCAAAAATTTCGGCCACCGTGAGGATCTAATGAATCAAAATAATGTCTTAATTGATTCTTGAGTGGCTAAATTGATTTGTCATTTAGCTAATGACAAAATCAATTACTAATCATGCTTTATTTAAACCACAAACACCATTAGTTAAGGCTCCATTCCGTTCAACTTATTTTTTCTGATTTGATCTGATTTTTTGTAGTTCTGATCTGATCAGATCTGGTCTTATCTAATCTGATTGGATCTGATCTGATCTGATCTGATTGGATGTGATCTGATCTGATATGATCTGATTAGATCTGATATGATTCGATCTAATCTGATTGGATCTAATTTGATCTTGTCTGATCTGATCTGATTAATTATGATTTGATTTAAAATTCAAATCAATAATTTGATTTAACTTTATAATAACGTTTAAAAATTTTAATGATAATTCATATTATAATATAATCAATATTTTTTTTATATTATTATTTTTAATAAAATAAAATTAGTTAATTCATATATTAGAATAATCATTCATATTATAATGTAATAATATTTTTTATTTTATGATTATTTTTTGTGAAATAATAATATTGATTTAGTATTTTAATTATTAGTTCATATATACATTAGAATCAATATTTAATTTATATACACATTAAAAAGTAATTAAATTTAGATAATCAATATGGAGAAGAAATAGTATTTTTATTAAGATATTTCATCCTTATAAAAGATCAGAAGTTTAAAAACTCAAATTATAGGTAGTAATAAAAATGTATTTTAAAAGTAGAATTAGATTGACATTGTCAATGTATTTTAAAAATAATTTTTCCGACGTCTAATAATTAAGGATTATTTTCTCAATTTTCTATTTAACTTATTTCTAAAGTATATTCTTTTTCATTTTTAAGAATAATAATAATAATAATAAATATTGATGGGATCTGATCTGGTGTGATTTAATCTGATCTGATTGGATCTGATTTGATCTGATTGGATCTGATCTGATCTGGTTTGATCTGATTTTAATAAGAATAAGAAAAAATAAGAAAAAATAAGTTGAACGGAACGGGGCCTAAGTAGGGGATTTTTCTCAAAACATTTTCGGCCACCATCATTTCTTGAGAGAGAAAATTATTTTGTGTTCCATTAATATAATTTTGTATATAGAAAATATCTATAATATTTTCTAAATATTATTAGAAATATTTTCTTTAGAAGTATACAAGATTATTATCCCAATTTTAATCTTTATATTTTATACTACTATAATCTTTACTAGCATAAGGATTGTGGTAGACTCCAGCGTTGTTTGTGTGTAAATTTCTACGATTTCTTCGTTTTAACCGCTTACGGGAGAAGGTATAAATTTCGTTTTTGAACCGAAAGCAAATATATTTCTTCACCAAAAGTCACCACACATTACAAATACTGTAAACACCCAAAACTACTCCTAAAAGACATAATGTGGAGCAGGAAGAAAATAGATAACACACCTAAACTTTCTTCCCTTCCAAATATACACCCACTTTAAAAAAAATCATATTTGGTGGGTGTTGTCTAATTGGCAAAATGCAAAGACTGCCAATGGGGTAAGACTAAAGGTATAAATTTCTTGTTTGCTTCTAGGCAAGATAATCATGTTAGGATGTTAAAATTTTTATATTCTGCTGCCTATCCTTGCATGGTTACCTTTCACATGGATCATCTGGGCTAAAGTCTTGTGGCACGGGAATTGTATTGACCACCTCGGAGGCCTTCAAGATTTATTATGCAATTTGTTTTAATTTTTGTGTGCCCAACAATGAGGCCGAATATGAGGCGTTGATCAACAGACTACAGATTGCACGCAAGCTATAAGCATTGAAAATTCAAATTTTTAGCGACTCGAAACTTGTCATCGGCCAAATCAGTGGTGAGTTCGAGGCCATAGAAGGAAGAATGCAGCAATAGTGGGATCATGCACTGGAAATGCTAAGAAGAGTTGAGTACCAATTGTAGTATATCCACAGAGAATCTAACACGGAGGTGGACGTGTTGTCTAAACTTAGAGAGGAATCCCCAAAGTACATCAACAAAGTGGCCAGCGTAGAAGAATTAGACACCCCAAGCTTGTTGAGGGAAGTGGTAGCTTGGGTAGCGGCAAACCCCGAGAGTGGTTAGATGAGTTAGCCAAATATATCAACAACGGGGAAGTTCCAGAGGACCTGCATGAGGCGAGACTCTTAAGGAGGAAAGCCCCGAGTTACGTTGTATAAGAAGGATCCTCTACAAGCACTCCTACAATGGGTTGCTACTCCGGTGCCTAAGGGCGACAGAAACCCAGTCACTTGTGAAGGAAACTCATGAAGGAACATGCGCAACCCATCAAGGACCATACTCTATTTCCCAGAGGGCTATCATTTTGAGGTACTTATGTTGTCAATGAGGAAAAAATGTGAAGCGTATGTTCTTAAATGCCTGATGTGCTAATAGTTATAGAGCATCCCCAAGAGAACAGCCACGAGTTACACTCCCATTAGCATTGTAATCCCGTTTGCAAGATGGGGAATAGATCTGGTGCGTGCGCTATGAAAAAGCAAAAAGAAGACAAGATGGGTAATTGTTGTAGTGAACTACTTCACCAAATGGGTTGAAGCCGAACCTCTCTCGGGGATAATGGAAGAGAAAATGGTTAAATTTGTGAGAATCAATATCTCATGTAGGTTTGGGGTCCCGAAGTAAGTAATCACAGATAATGGGACTCAGTTCGATGAAGCCTATGTTCACTCATTTTCTGAAGACCAGGGAGATTCGTCATAGCAAAGCTTCCGTAGTGTACCCATAGGCCAACGACCAGGTTGAAAATACAAAGCAATTGAATGAGAGACAATACTAGGTTGGATAGATTCATCAACACTGTTAAAAATCCAACTACAAATAATTTGATAATTAGCACACCAAGCGGACATCTCATATTCATCAGTAGGTTTGGGAACCCCTACGGATGATAAAAAAAATAGATTTTCCACGACCACCCAAAGCATTACAGATTGCCTTCTCCCAAATATCAAAATTGTCACTTTTAAGGAGATATTTCGTCAAAGAGTTACCCGGACCTTCTAAGGGATGAAGGTAATATATGGAGGAGGGATCATGGATCAATCGTGCCTTTTTAAGGGTTAGAAGCAACCACTTCTCTGGACATAGTGACGGTCGACGAGGGAGACACGAAGGACAGCAGCAGAGGACGGCAGACTGCGCAGCAAAGGAGGAAGGCCGACGGGCTCTAACTCTGATGAACCAACGGCGAACAGAACCGCCGAGACGGACGGCGCACCAACGACACGAGCATAGGGTTTTCGAGAACTAGCCCTATGATCGCTCTGATACCATGTAGAAACTATTATACGTGAAACTTGTGTTCTCCATTAGTCACGGGGAGAATATATACATGACGGAGTATACTAGCTACGGGCCCATAATGTACATAGCCCAATACATAATAAACAAATATTTACAAATATAGAACAACTCCAAGGATGGCCGCGGGAGACACAACATTTAGATTGGCCTATGGGTTTGAGGCCTGGGCATTGGCAGAAACAGTGTTCCTGACTTGCAGGGAACAACAGCACGACACTTAGTCTAACGAAGCAAATCAATCTATAGAGTTGAACTTTTTGGAGGAAAGGAGGGATGGGACATAAAACTACAAGAAGCGGGCAAGTCCTACTTTGATAGTAGGGTAAGGCCGAGGGCTTTCCAAGTTGGGAACTATGTCCTGAGAAAAAGGGAGAAGAGTCAACCGAACAAAGGGGAATATTTTTTTAAGTCTTATGAGGGCCATATATTACCAAGGAAGTCTTGTGCCCGGGCACCTACAAGCTAATGACCCCGAAAGGAAATGAAATAGATAGAACATGAAATGCTAAACACTCGGTGAAATTCTACCAGCGATTTGAATGTATTTCTTTTATTTTCAATGAATGAGATGTCAAGTGTTGTTCCATGATTCTTGTCTACATTCTTATTGTTGGGAACTATGCTTGGATAGAGCAGCGGAAATATAAAACTTTTATGTCCAAACGTAGATCCACCCAAGATCCCTTACAAAAACTATAAGTTATTGTTTAGAGATATATCTTTCTTGACGATGAAGCAACGGTGTGTGGCTAACAAAATTGATCTAAGAGCTTTAGCCATAAAAGTATATGACCTCCAGTGCGTACACACGAACTTTGATTGGTGTTCTTTAGAAAAATTATGCTAGTAATTTTCTCAAGAATATCTTCTTAAAATATAAAATATTTGGAGTAATGAGTTAAAAGAGCAAAACAATTTGGTCTCTTAATTCTAAGGGAAGAGGGCCGAAAATTCAAGTGTGGAATAAGGGAGAATGATCTCCTATTTATAAGGAGTGTAATCCCCATCCCAATCCAACTTGGAATATGCCTTTTAAAGTTTAGGAAAGAAATCAAATCTCATTCATACTTTAATTCCAATTTTCGGCCCTACCATTATTATAGCTTCCAATTTATTTTTTCAACTTTAATTATCAAATAATTAACACAAAATAAATATCTTAATTTGTTTTTAATATATATACACGAAATACATACATACATACATACATCCATGCATACATACATGCATACATCCATGCATACATACATGCATGCATGCATACATACATACATACATACATACATACATACATACATACATACATACATACATACATACATACATACATACATACATATATACATACATACACACATACATACATACATACATACATCTGTCACCCCCACCAACAGCCCCACTCTAATTCCACCACCATGCTCTTCTCATCCTATGACTACTTGTGCTAAAAGTGGTATCTTTAAACCCAAAATTTTCTCCACTAATCTTCGCCCATCCCTTTTTGATACTAAGACAATATCCGTTCAAGAGGCCTCCAAATATGAAGTTTGGCATCATGCTATGGATGAAGAATATTCAGCTTTGATGCAGAAGCACACATGGGTTCTTTTCCCAAAGCCTTTGGGTCGGTCTCTGATGGGCTCCAAGTGAGTTTACAAAGTTAAGCATAACGTTGATGGGTCGGTCTCACGATACAAAGCTCGTCTTGTTGCCAAGGGTTACATTCAAGAGTATGGGTTGGATTATAATGAGACTTTCAATCCAGTGGTGAAACAGCAAACCATTCGTATTGTTTTTACTTTTGCTCCACTATAACTGGCCACTTGGACAACTTGATGTCTCCAATTTTTTTGAATGCAGAGCTTGACGCCAAATTATACATGGTTCAACCACCAGCATACGTGGCCTCACGCTTTCCTCGTCATGTTTTTAAACTTAACAAGTCTCTTTATGGTTTAAAACAGGCTTTGCATGCTTGGTATGAACGTCTTTCAGCCTTCTTGGTTTGCCTATGGATTTGAAAGAACAAGCATGATACCAGTTTCTATATTCTTCATGGAACGACTGGCACACTTATCCTCCATGTATATCCTGATGATATCGTGGTCACAAGTAGCTCTTCTACTCTTTTCAGGATATTATTACTTGCATGTGTACTGAGTTTTCAACCAAGGAGTTGGGTCCCGTGGATTACTTTCTAGGCCTTGAGGTCAGCCGCACATCCTCCTCCATCATTGTTTCTCAGAAAAATATGCAACTGAACTCCTACACCGGGCTGGATTGGAAGATTGCAAGCCCACGACCACTCCCTTACCGGCACGTCAGGTCGAACTCGAGGGGAGGGGGAATGAACCATTTCATGATCCTATATTGTTCTGGAGTTTGGTTGGAGGTCTTCAATATCTCACTACAACTCGTCTTGACATCCAGTTTGCGGTGAATTATGTGTGTCACCGCATGCACAATCCTATAGAGAATGATTTTCAAAATTTGAAACGAAATATGTGATTCGTGAAAGGGACGGTAGACTGAGGTCTTATGTTTGAGTCTGGTGATCTCCAGCTACGGGCATACTCTGATTCTGATTGGGCTAATGATATGACAGATCTGTTCACATGTTATCTTATTTACCTTGGACCTAATCTTATATCTTGGAGTATAGAAAAGCAAGTGTGTGTGTCACAATCCTCTACTGAAGCCGAGTATATCTTGATGATCTGCGTATACCAGTCTCACCTCCACAGTTGTTTTTGTGACAATCAATCTATTTTATGTCTCACAAAGAATCCCGTTTTCCATAAGCGTGTGAAACATGTGGGTACAGATTGTCACTTTGTTCGTGAACATGTTATTGCTAGCACTATGTGTGTTTCACATGTTTTCTTTGAAGATCAACTTGTTGATCTACTCACCAAGCCATTACTGAAGTCGTGCTATCACGCTCTTGTTTCCAAGCTTCCGTTCGTGACACGACGTTCAGATTGAGGGAGGATATGATATTACCACTACAAAAAACTGCTGAAATGGCGACGGAATTATTCCGTCGCCAAACCCTTACTTCCGTAGGTAATCTCCATAACGACGGAAATAACGACGGAATGTGTTCCGTCGTTAATTTTTCGTTAGTAGTAAATGTAACGACGGATTATTGATTCCGTCGCTAGTCTACGACGGAATTGGCGACGGAATTAAGCGACGGAACTCACGACGGAAATCCGTCGCTAATTCTGACGACGGAAATAGCGACGGAATATTCATTTTGACCATATAGCGACGGAAATGCAATTCCGTCGCCAATTTGACAGGTTGTACCAGGAAGCTGCTGTTTTTTCAATTTTGCACACATCCATAGCAAAGCTCAGAAATCCCAGCATCAAACAACAACAATTACTGGAAATGAAGATTACCAAACAACCAAGAATATTCAAGTCACCAATGTACAACTAAATTTCAAGTAATATTTATAAAAATTCAACATAATAATCAAATCTAACTCCACTTACATAACCATAAAACTTAAGTTTAATATATTGTTCTTCAATTCTAATATAACACTCAACAAGCTCCTGCAAATCCCGCCCCTCCTCCATCTCCACCGCCATCTCCATTTCCATGTGGGAAAACTCCTCCATAAAGTCGGGTCATCTCTTCTCTAATCGACAATAATTCACGAGCTTGGGAAGCCCTAATTTCATCTAGCTCTTCTCTCAACCTCCGAATCTCATCATCTCGAGAGTCCCACATAGAGCTGGTGCTATCACGTCTTGCCTCACTTGCATGCATTCGTGGTAGGCTCCGTGCGAGATCTCCAACACCATGAACACGATTCTTGGAATCATGTCCTCCGACTGTAGATAGAAAAATCTCGTCAGGTGTCACATTTAAGCCCTCTTCACGAACTGCCTCCTGCATGGCTACGTAGTTTTGCTGCAATACACAAAACATACATGCATATTATACTTTGTAACATAAAAAGCAAATTAAAATGAGCAGTATGAATTCACATTCAATTGAATCCAACGAAAACTAATCATTTATATATACATTATATATATTCATTGTCACTTACTGATACTTCTTCTGCCTTCTTATTGACGAAGGTCTTCCCATCATGTTTCTTCGTATGTGTGTGTGTACAAAGAGTACAAGTCAGAAGCCTTTCCACTTTTACCCTAAAAAAATAAAATATATAAATGAGTGAAAATACGTCACTTAGAACATTTATAGGTAATTTTTGTTACTAACAATACTTACAAGGCGCGCTTGAGTCTCGCGAAAAGACAATGGACCACCGGTGTGCGTGGCGCTAGCAGGGGCATTCTCGTCACCGCCACGCCGATTTTTCTTGTTTTGCTTGGAGGATGCCAAGAACTTTGGTGACTTCCAATACTGTTTAACAACATATAAATACAAGAATACAAATATATACACACAATTTGATGCTAAGTATAACATAACTCATCAATTCAAAAGATATTTAGAAATACCTCCTTCCACGATTGCGGTACAAGTGGCTGCACCTTCTCTGTTCCTTTCTTCTCATTCCTAATAGATGAGAGCCAGTCGGTGTATCGTCTTCTAGCCTTCGATTGCCAAGCACGGAACATAACGCTATCATCAATGCGAGGGTCCCAAGTGGCATGTTTCTAAATTTAAAAAAAGAAGTTAGACCGGACATGTTAGAAAATATCTTAAATAAAATACAAAATATAGAAAGCATACATTTGATATTCGTATCTAACCAAATTTTACCTTAAACTCTCTCCAGTAAAAGTCCACAGTCGTGTCGCTTTGGCTCTTCCAACTACCCCCTGTTGGATCGAGCCTTTGCTGGAATGTGGAACAAATGATCCGAGCTCCCTCTTCCGTGAAGACGACACTACATGATATTATAATTACAACATTATAATATATATTATAATCGTGTATACATGCAAATAATAAGATATATATGTAGAATCACCTGCCAGAGCGATCAAAGTACGCTACGCTCGGTCCAAGGTTCATAGCATCGTCATGCTCGTGCTCTATCGACTCGTCTGAGTCCATGCTCTCATCATTGTGCATCCTGGACTCATCAGTGG